CGTGAAATTATAACTCTCCCTTAAACCCTAAACCTGAAGTGTAATCCGGAGCCAATTAATATTTTTGGAACTTAAAATCCTCCTTCTGTAATTGATCAAGTCACACTAGGAGTCCACTTATGCAATAATTAGGATTCGGTTAATATTTTGAAACTTAAAATGCTCCTCCTGTTATTTTTTTGACTAATTATTCTTTGGAATACTTCTAAACCCTAGCCCTCTCTCTTTCTCTGGCTCTTTCTTTTTTGTGTTCTTCTAGATTTTGTTTATAAATCACAGACGATCATCTTTTTTGGTTGGCGGTAGTTTATTTTCATCCCTTTCTCATTTTATTTTATTTTGTTTATTTTTTTTTAATAATTTTTAAATATACGATCGTTTGGAACAAAATTTTGATTTAGTTTCTTAGATGATAGATCTTGAGTATTTTTGGTACCTTCTTAGTGGAGTTATTAGTTTCTCTCATTTCATGGGTTTGTTCCTCTATATTGAAGAGTTTTCGTGTGAATATTTTATTTCTCGGGCAATTCAAAAGACAGGATAGATTGTTGATTGCTTGTAGTTAGAGACTTCAGATCTTCAAATTTGGGTAAGTTTCTTTTACCAATGGAACCTAGTAGTGCGGTTGTTCCTCCATTAAAGTTTGATGTATTAAACTCTCCTGCAAGTGTCAGTTATAATAAATTTCCAGAAAAAACAATGTTCGAGACAATATTGTGAAATATTTCTTTTGTCATCCTATTTGAAAATGAATCGGTTTTTACTCGGAATATTAACTTCTTCTGCTAAGATCAAGAACATCTCCAAATAGAAAATTTCAATTTTCTATATTTGTATTTCATATTCCTATATGAATATTATGACGTATTTAACTTATATTCATTATTAATGAATCATTAAGTTTTGAAAAAAAAATCCTCCCCCTTGTAATTGAATCAGGTCTCCCTGATAGCCCATATGTACAATGGTATTGGACCGACTAACTTTGATACCATATTAGAATATTAAGGTGTACATATAGAGGGGTGTGATTAGTTGAAAGGTTAAAATCCACTGAAAAGAGATTTACACTTACTTGGACTTTAAGTAACCATTATTAAAAGGATAGGACCAACCTATTACATTTTTGGTTTTTGATTTGATTACAGGAAATAAGTTAAATTTATCCAAACACTGAACAAAGCTGATGAAACTGAGCTGTTCAGTTTGATTTTGTAAATAGTTCGATTTAAATTTGGTTTAAAAAAATATGATTTGGTTTCGGTTTTTGCTTTTTCTGGTTGAGTTCGTTTTATAACTGAAACTAACTGCACGCGCAACTAGTAGCTAGCAAGCCCCCAATAACTCTGAAACCCAATTTTATAATGTCTATTCATTTTGAGTGGTTGACACATATCCTTAGGTATTTATAAGGTTAACAGAGCTTAAAAAATTATTTAAAATTTGCTATTAAATCCCTAATTCAGGTCCAGCCTATCAATTAGTTAAATAACAATGTCATTTACTTTTCTCTTCCAAAATAAACCCAATCCATTTCACCCCCTGATAAATTTGAATTTGTTCCCCAGATAAATGTACCTTACTAAATAACCTTAGATAATTTTTTTTAGTACGGGGAAGAGGGGAGAGATGATTCGAGTGGATCTATTACCAAGTCGTACATGCACTTATTAATAGGCTATGCATAGGTGCGCAATAACCTTAGATAATTAATTAATCTTGGTTGATGCAAGAAGTTGATAATATACATGTAAATTTGCATTTCTAACTAAAGTAATTAATTTCTTTTAATTCTTGTAAAATAAAGTGTGCCTCTCGATTGGGCATGGAGGAAGTATAATTTATATTTAAAATACTCCACTACTGAATGATCTGAAAATAATTATTTTCACATCTAAAACATAAAAATCACACCCAAATAATATTCCAACTTGCCAAGTTACCAAAATACTCTTAGAAACAGGTTAAGCCAAGTTTATAGTCAATTAGCTTCGGAATGAATTACAACCTCCACATTGATATTTAAATCACAAAAATTATACCAAACTAGGCGGTCCTCCGTGTTTCGCACAACTCGATAATACTTGTATTTCTCATTTCACTTGTAAAATATATATGTTGAGTAAATTATAAGACTTCTTTTTTTTAAGAAAAAAAGTGTCTGGAATTATTATTATTATTATTATTATAAAGTCTTGTAGGTGATTTAAAATGATTTAAATGCTTAATTTCTATTTTTTTTAGCGATTTATCTAACCATGAGTGTATAATAATAAAAAATATATTAAAACATAATATATAATTAATTCATCATTGCATAAAATATATTTAAATTATTTTGAATTGGACATACTTAAATCTCTGTAGAAATAAAAAAAATTAAACTAAATTAATGAAAATAAAAAAACAAAACCAATTACACAACTCAAAAACAATGAAATGCCACAACGTTCTTCTTTCAACCGACAATAAACTGAAGAAATCAAACTAAAGAACTACGTTAAGCTTTCAATTATAGAAAGAAATTTAAAAAATTTATAAAAATACGAAAAATAGAATAGTGAACAAAGAAAGAATCTTGAACTTGTTGCTTATACATGATTATAAGTAAATATTTGAATTCTCAATCAGCAAAAAAACATATATATAATCTTTAAAAGCTTAAACCATTAATTTCACATCAACCAATTCTTTGAATTTTACATCAAAATTATAAAAACCATATATGTAGCATTTTTCATGACAAATTCAATGTAGTCATACAAACCATAAGTTGAATTTAAAGATCTCAAATGTTATTGATTTGAAAATATTCAATTTATGAGAAGGAAAACTAAACTTGTATCAATATAATTTATTTAAAAATTGAAAATCATAATCAAACAAATCAAAAGAGAGAAAAAGAGGAATAATATTACTCATTATCTTATCTTCTTGTTTTTAAACTGTATAAGATTATTCTCGAACGTTGATCGGTTAATTATCATGAGAAGGAAAATAAAATTTGTACCTAATAATTTACTCAAAAGATAAATATCATTACCAAACAAACCAAAAGAGAAAAAAAAGAAGAAGAAATAAAACTATTCACCATCTTCTCTTTTGGTTTTTCAAACTATATGAGATCAATCTTGAACTTGCTGAGAGATGAAAATTTTACCATCTCATTGGAAGAAATTCTCATGTGGATTAGGAAGGAGAATAATTTGGCAACAATAGAAATATAAGTTTTGTTTTAGTATTTTAATAACAATTTCAAATTGTAATGTTGATTATTAAATTTAGGTTGAAACATTTAAGGGAGGTAGGAAGGTGAAGAATTGAAATTTGAATTTGAATTTAAAATTTTTAGAAGGCTTCATTCTACATGGAATTAAAATTACATTAAAATTATGATTAGGCGATATTATATTAAGTTATGATTAGGCAATATTATATTCATGAAATTAAATTATGATTCTTTAAAGGGAAGTTACATTAAAAAGACAGTTTTAAATGAATTAAATTTTCATTCATTGAATGGACGTTAAATAGAGCCACAATTTTAGGAAGATGTATTTTTGAAAAACATGATTTTTTTTAATATTTTTTAAATTATTAAAATTTTAAAATACTATATTTCATTTATACTAAAAAAACAAATAGTATATTTAATTTGAATTTTAAAACTAATAACATATATATATAATGAAAATCTAAAAAATTAACTAAAATATTTAAATTTCTTACGTGCCATAATTGAATGAATTTAAAACTCATAAAAATGAAAAGAAATTTATTATTGAAAAGTAAATGATGGAAGAAAAAAAGTTGATAAAAAAAGAAAAAATGCTCAAAAATTTCTCAGAAAAAATAATGAAATGCTAAAATATTATGAGTCTCACTTTTTAAGAAGACATATGGAATCCATAATCTGCCTATTAAAAAATATATACTATAGTCTATGTTGTTTTTTATATATATACACTCCTCGAACCATAATTTTTATTCTAATTTAACATGCACATGAATTAAGAAAATTTAGTTAGTATAATTAAACTCTAATTTTTACTTTTATCATAAAAACTATAATTTTTACTTTGTTTTTTTCTAATATACCTTGATACTTGTATTCAATTAAAATTAAATTATCCATAATAAATTATTTTTAAAAGTAATTAAACATTTGATTAAAATAGAGTTTTCTTAAAAGATTAAAGGATGATATTTTAATTTTATTTATATCAAGATTTAATTAAATATAATGTTGTAGTATAACTATTGTATTTATTGACAAACAATCATATAAATAAGGCCTAAATAGTAAATTTCAAATATTATTTACTTCTAAGAGAGAAAACAAGAAAAATAATTCAGGTCGGGTCAAAAAAAGAAAATAGAACAAGAATTATGGGATTAATGAAGTATCTTTGAAGAAATAATATTAGAGAGAGACCTAAGAATAATGTCAATATAATTGTACTTGCAAACATACACTAATATAATTCAGGTCGGGTCAAAAAAAGAAAATAGAACAAGAATTATGGGATTAATGAAGTATCTTTGAAGAAATAATATTAGAGAGAGACCTAAGAATAATGTCAATATAATTGTACTTGCAAACATACACTAATCTATTCATGTCTAGAGATAATCGAATAAGATTAGCATATGGCGCTTAATTAATATTTTAGTTTATGACCCAAGATTGATTGGTCTAGTTGTTGAAACGTACTAGATCCCATCATGGTGATTATAGGATCGAGTCGTGAAATCAGCATTTTGGGAAGGCTTTTAAACATAATAGTTCCTTAGCCCCATAGGGCTTAGTTTCTCATCTAATCTAAATAGGAGGTCAAAAAAGGAGAGAAAGAATTCAATTTAAAATTAGTATGCTAACCCAAAGTTTAGTATCTTCGTTGGTTTATTTTCTTGGAAAGAGCTAACCAAATAAGATAAACAAAAGAAACATAATATTTTATTAACCAAAATAACAAAATCAGATTAACATATGAATCATTCCAAGATGATTTAATTTGAAGGAAACAGAGATTAAACAAAGACTCACAAAATAAAAGACAAATATAAAATTGAAATTGAGAAAGGCTCAACAATAATATTCAATGGGAGAAATTATGATGCCAAGGTTTAGTAACATCATATAGCGTTCCTGTGTCATTTCCACCAGCAAAATGTTCATGCATCCCTGGGTCACCGGCTTCGATTCCAGTAGTTGGAGAAGGCATCCCTAGTCCCATACCGTTTCCACCACTATAATTATCAATGTTACCCTGATAAGGTTGCAACCCTAACCCAAACGAGTGTCCACTTGTAGAGTTGATATTGCCATGAATAGATAGTTGTCCCATCTCAAAATGATTTCCACCACCACTCATATTGATATTACTCAAGGGGAGACCCAGGCTGAAAGTATTACCAGTGGACCCAGTAGGAAACCCCGTATCACCACCATTGTGGGTGATATTATAGCCATAGGGGTGGTGGTTCATCATATCATTCTTAGCACCACTACTACTAGCAAGATTATCATTGTTATTGCTAATAATATTAAGATACCATTGATCCGATATCATAGTATTTCCAGAATTACTATTCCTGATATCTCCAACCCCACCACCATCACCACCAGCATTAGCACCAGTAGTAGCGGTTAATTGGTGGCCCATTTCTTGCACAGTAGGGTCCTCATTAGGAGATGGAAGAGGAGGAAGAAAAGAGGTTGCAGGTGGAAGAGGAGGAACTTGTTGGAAATAATCAACTCTTTTTCTTAAATCTTTCATTTTCTCTCCTAATAACCAAATCAAAACATGCAACTCATTAGACTCAAAATCATCAGCTCCATTACCTTTATGAAGTTTATCCATCAGATAACTCATCTCAATCTCTAAATTCTTTCTTTGGTTCTTCCTTAATTGTTCTTGCACTTTGACCGCTCTTTCTTTTAGGTAGCTTTCCTGATTCATCATCTTTTTGGTCCGTTCAATTTCCGGTATGTTTTGATACCTCATCAGTAGTTGTTCCACCAATGGTCGTGATGGCCAAAACATTGGTTCAGTCTCATCTGGACTGTAGATGATAGCAAATGCACTAACATCACATAAGGTTGTTAGTTCACTCACTTTCTTCAATAATCCTGTTCTCCTTTTTTTGAGACTTGCTTTTCTTGCTGCATCATTCACTATCCAAACTAGCTTAACCTTCTTTCTTGTCATTTTTGCTTTTGCTTGCTATAGCTAGCAAGTCGTTCTCTTTTGCTCTACACTCAACTAGATTGAGGAATATATAGCAAGAAGGTGTGATATATATGGAAATAATTATACATAAAAGGGATAATGCTTTTCTATATATGGTAAGATATTTCATTATTATCTAATGATACTATTCTAACAATTTAGGGTGGATCAATATGAAATATGCCACTAATTATTGGGTAAATTTGTGAATTTGAATTTATATTTGTATATGCATATATAATATAAAAAATAAAAAGTGATCCTCAAGGCTAAAGCCAAAACTAATACTCCCTCCGTCCCATTTTGTTTGTATGGTTTGATAAAATACGCATATTAAAATTTTAGTCAATAAAAATTATGTTCACCTTTTTTATCATTAACTTATTAAGATATTAATAAAAGTCATTCATTTAATGAACAATTATAAATGTTATTATGAGAAAAATAATTGTTTAAATATACAAATTTAGAAATATACAAATTTAGAAACTTTGCAAACATTTGGAACATCGCAAAAAAGGAATAACAAGCAAATAAAATGGTATGGAGGGGAGTAAGTCATTCATTTAATGAACAATTATAAATGTTATTATGAGAAAAATAATTGTTTAAATATACAAATTTAGAAACTTTGCAAACATTTTGGAACATCGCAAAAAGGAATAACAAGCAAATAAAATGGTATGGAGGGAGTATGAAAAGATTTATTGTTGCTTATATCTTTAGATTTTATTTTCATATCTAATTCTGAGTTATTATTGTCAACCTTATGGTGATTTTATCTATGATAATATTACACACCTTTCAACACTAATATAGATAATATTTGGATTATTTATCTTTTATTTGCAAAATATCAACTTGATATGTAGTTAGCATAATTTTTTGGAATACTAATTTTCACAAATTTTAACTTTTTAATGAGTATTTAATTGATCTAATTTTGCAAGTTGAAGTGGTCAATAAAATAATTTGAAAATTGAAGTGTTTAGTAGGTGTAATTTATAAGTTGAAGTCTTTGACGGTCAAAGTAAAAGTTGAGGATGCAACAAGATTAAAGTAACAAAGTCAGGGGCGTTATTATATATTCGACCTACTTCTTATCTATAAAAAGTGTATATTATACTCAAATTATGTGAGGACATTTTAATTATTATTATTATTATTAGCGTAAAAATGGGAAAGTACTAATGATATTTGTAATTAGATGTTTAATAGCGTTATGCACTTAGATTAACAAATCTAATAAAAAAAATCTACTCAATTAGGGTTAGCCGTCTCTCTCTCGCTCTCTCTCTCTCTCTTTTGGTATATTCTTTTAGATTTTGTATTCTGAACCATCGTCGACCGTCTTCTTTGGCCGACGATGGTTTCTTTTCGTCCCTTTCTATCATCTTTCTTTATTTCTTTCTAATTATATCCAAACCTATGATCATTTCGAATAAAAATTTAATTTGTCTCTCAGATTTGTAATAGTTGATAGATATTGAGTGTTTTCGATACTCTCTTAGTGGGTTATTAATTTCTCCCCTTTCATGGGGTTATTCCTCGTTATTGAGGAGTTTTTACGTGGATCTTTTATTTCTCCCGCAGTTCGAAATACAAGATAGATTCATGGTTGCTTGTGATTAAAGACTTCAGATCTTTAACTTCGAGTAAGTTTTCTTTTGTCAATTGAGCATGGTAGTGCGACATGTTACTCAATTATTGCTTGTGGTATATTAAACTCTTCTGAGTGTGTCAATTGTAACAAGTTTTCGAAAAACAATGTTCAGGACAATATTGTAGAAAGTTTCTTTTGTCATCCTATTTGAAAATAGACTAGTGTTTACCCCGGAAAATTAACCTCTTCTACCAAGATCATCTCTAAACAGAAAATTTCGATTTTTTATATTTTTATTTCTTATTTTTATGAAAATATTATGATGTGCTCAACTTATATTCATTATTAATGAATTATCAAGTTTTTTTTTTTTTTAAAAAAAAAACATATCTAATTGTTTAGAAGTTTTTTTTAAAAAAAATTAACATATCTAATTGTTTAGATTGGAAGCTAATATTTTGATAAGTGAGGTATAGTTCTTTACTATATAAGGTAACATATTTAATTATTAATGAATGATATTATTGTAACAATTTGGGTTGTACCACTGTGGTATATGCCACTTGTTATTTAAGGTGTGAATTTGTGCCATGTGTGAATTTATTTATATATGTAAATGTGATTTAAGAAAAAAAAAATTGTCCTCAAGAAGCTAAATCTTAAACCATATTAAAAAGTTTAGTATTATATATATATATATATGAAAATTATATTATTATAATTCTACAGTTTAAGCAGATTTATAACTATAAACTATAAGCCCATATGGGCAATCTGTAATGAGGAATAATTATATATAAAAAGGAAAGAGTTACCTATGTTCATTATGTAGGGCCATACACTAAGTAAATTAAAAAATAGTTTGTTGGTTCAAATGAAAATATTTTTGACCATTCATTGAAAAAAAAAAAGATAAAATAGTAATAAAAAAATATTTACAAATTTACTTGGTGCATGGATGGGCCCATAGATCTAGTATAGGCAATTTTTATATGCAATAAATAGTATACATTATACTTAAATTTATGTGAGGCCACTAAAAAATATATTATTATTATTAGGGTAAAAATAGAAAAAGAAAAATTATATTTTGAAAACCATGTTGGATTTTTATTAGCCTTTTGCATTTTAGTTAACATTTGTACTACTTTAAATGTAAATGTAATGATATTTTGGCAAGTGAATTCTAATTCTTTGTTGTATACAATAAGATTTTTAATTATTGTTTAATGATATTATTTTAGCAATTAAGGGAGGATCAATATGATATTTACCACTTGAAAGTGAATTTGTGCCATACATAAATTTATTTATATACATAATGTAAAAATAATATAGTCCTTAATGAGCCAAAACCTCACCAAATATTAAAAAGTTTATTATTTCTTTTAGAAATTTTAAATTCCTTCATTTTTAGGTTTTTTTTCAGAGAATGATATTATTATAATGCTATAATTTAAGTTGTCAAACCATTAAGAAACAATTTTTATCTATGAAAGTCTATGTTATACTCAAATTTATTGAGGATCACTAAAAAATATAATTGTTATTATTGGGGTAAAATAGTAAAGGATAAATGATATTTTCAAAACCAAGTTGGTTTTTAATAGTCTCTTGCATTTATGTTAATAAATCTACTTGTTTAGATTTGAAGGTAATGATACTTTAGCAAGTGAGTTATAGTTCTTTACTATACATGGTAAGATATATAATCTTTATTTAATAATAATATGCTAATAATTTAGGGTGGACCAATATGATATATGACACTTGTTATTCAAAGTATGAATTTATACTTATATATGTAACTTTAATGTAAAAAAATAAAAATCAAGTTGGATTTTTAATAGTCTCTTGCATTTATGTTAATAAATCTACTTGTTTAGATTCGAAGGTAATGATATTTTAGAAAGTGAGTTATAGGACTTTACTATACATGGTAAGATATATAATCTTTATTTAATAATATTATTCTAATAATTTAGGGTGGACCAATATGATATATGACACATGGTATTCGAAGTATGAATTTATGCCATAAATGAATTTATACTTATATATGTAAATTTAATGTAAAAAAATAAAAATCAAGTTGGATTTTTAATAGTCTTTCGCATTTATGTTAATAAATCTACTTGTCTAGATTGGAAGGTAATGATATTTTAGCAAGTGAGTTATAGTTCTTTACTATACATGGCAAGGTATATAACCTTTATTTAATAATATTATTCTAATAATTTAGATTCGAAGGTAATGATATTTTAGCAAGTGAGTTATAGTTCTTTACTATACATGGTAAGATATATAACCTTTATTTAATAATATTATTCTAATAATTTAGGGTGGACCAATATGATACATGACACTTGTAATTCAAAGTATGAATTTATACTTATATATATAAATTTAATGTAAAAAAATAAAAATTAAGTTGGATTTTTAATAGTATCTTGCATTTATGTTAATAAATCTACTTGTTTAGATTCAAAGATAATGATGTTTTAGCAAGTGAGTTATAGTTGTTTACTATACATGGTAAGATATATAATCTTTATTTAATAATATTATTCTAACAATTTAAGGTGGACCAATATAATATATGATAGTTGTTATTCAAAGTGTGAACTTATGCCACAAATGAATTTATACTTGTATATGCAAATGTAATATAAAAAAAATAAAAATTGGTCTTTGCTTAGGTATGTCGCAATCCCACATTGATTAGACATACATTAACTAAATGACGTATATATAATAAGGATGGTTAGAAGTAAGCCCAACTCATTATAAATTCAAATATTAATATATTAATCTATTTACTATGATTAATTTGCTCCTAGAGCCCATATTCTTAACAGTCCTCAAGGAGCTAAAGCCTAAACCAATATTAAAAAGTTTAGCATTTCCTTTAGAAGTCTTAAATTCTTAAAATGTATATCTATATAAATATATAATTTCTAAAGCATAAGTGTCTATGCCGCAATTTATTAGAATTTGGGAGTGATGATGCAGTATTTTATTTTCATGATAATTAATCTTTTTTATTAAATAATGGAGTTACAAACTAATAAATCTAATGGATAATTTCACTATAATCAAAATATTTTTTCAGTTAATAAATATTAAATTTTTTATTAAATATTCTTTTCTATCAAAAAAACTAATGGGGTTATAATAGAGTCATAGTTAATAAAAATTAATTAAATAATGTAATTGCATTAACAAATAGAATTAGAATATTAATTTCAATTCATTAAAATTTTCATTAAAATTAAATATTCTTGTACCTTATTTAATATATTCACCTTATTTAATTTGAATATATGAGAATTTCAAACAGAAAAAAATAATTAATTAATTTATCAGTTAAATTATAATAATTCACTTAAAATAATTAATTGT